GCGAGGTTTCTCCTCCGGCCGGTGTTGGCCTCCAGGTTGCCGACCAGGACTAGACTCGGCATTTACAAGACGTATGTTCGTTCCCGTATCACGTACGCAGCTGCGGCCTGGTATCACCTCATCCCGCAGATCATGCGGGTGAAGTTACAGGCCCAGCAGAATCTGGCTCTTCGCACGATAGTCGGAGCAGGGCGTTACGTCAGAAATGACGTAATCGCCCGGGATCTAGATGTGGAGTCGCTCGAGGAGTTCATTCGGAGGCTAGCTCGTAATATGTACGAGCGGGCTGACGGTGGACCCCACGAGCATCTCCACAATATAGCTCCCTTGCACGCCAGACCACCTGATGGTCAGGCGCTACCAAGGGAGCTACTGGAACCCCCGGCTATGGTAAGATAGTCGGCTTAACCGGAGTGATATGGGAGTGCTCATAATGAGTGCCCCCATGGGACTGAGCTGTCCACACTCTTCATCTCCCCCCACACTGTTGGGGTGCCCCCCTATGGGGACCCATTTCTACCACCCACTTGGGTGAACCACTCCCCCTTAAGGGGAGTGATTTACGTCGGTCCCTCCCCGCGACGGTCTTCCCCTTCTGGGGAGCCCTTAGCGGGTGAGCGCCAAACTAGTGCCGCGGCTCCCCCTCTGACTTGTAGAGGTGGGGCCGCGGCATGGGGCCGGTGGCGGGCCCCACGGTGCTGACTGTTGTCCCGGCTTTGTATATATTGTAATAGTAGTTAATAGTACGTATAGTAGTTTAATTTTAGTTAGTTATAGTTAGTAGTTAGGGAAAAAAAAAAAAAAAAAATTCAAGCAGAGGACAGCAGCCGGCGCCGGGGTGACTCCTCCGCGGGCATCACTCCACCCAGGAAAATAACAAGCCCATCGTATTATATTTAAGTATTTATTCATTTTGTCGATGTGAGTGTGCCGAGCACGCTGCGAACAGCCTCCCTTAATCCCGTCTTGCAATAATTTCACCCCTGCCCTGAAGGCAGGGAGCCCCGTCCCGGGTAGTGGGGTTTGCCCCGAGGCCCGTTCCGTGCCCCCGAAAGGGGGTACGACGACCCTTCTTGTCTTGTTGCCCAGTTGCGCCGACGATTGCGAACGTAATGGACGTATCGCCATTTTCATAGTTCGTGATGTCTACTGTGTAGCGTCACGAGAAATCATCAAAAGAAATCTCATAAAAACAGCATGGCTGTTAATGATGTTTGGGAAAGAATTCAAAACTCTTTTTCTCTTCAATGTTCTATTGACGAATTAAAAAGGAGGAGAAATTCGTGAGACATTCGTAAACAAGTGTGGGAGGAAGCGCAAACGGTTCGCAAATTGAGTACCGAACCCATTTGCACAGCTGCTAGGTTTGCGAATGAATGTTTGACGGCCCTTCACATGCGCGCAAACATTCGTACAATTACGAATATTTGCGCGCATGTCAGTGGCCGGCATAATACAAGATGTCCGCTCGTAGGGGGCACGCGGTGTATGTGAGACTTGGCGGTCTGCAGTAGTTTGGGCAGTCCGCGGTCCTAAGGATGTTTTAAGGCCCAGATAGGTGTCACCAAGAGTTTCTTATTTGGTATTTCATTATTTTTTTCAATGCCATATTCTCTATAAATGAAAAAGAAATTTCCGTAATATTCTGGAAGTTCAACGAAAAATACCTTGTGCTTTCTATTTTCGAGATTCGTGTGTATGTACCGTAGCTTTAGTAACTTTACAAAGTAAAGGAAAAATACGTATTAATTTACTCAATTGGGTGTCTAGTTTATATAAAGAAAAGTGAATAAATTTTGCTAAATGCACTACTAAGTGAATCAAAAATCATCGATTGGCTCGGTGATTTGTGAAGTATTGAAGTGAGATGTGTCGAATGAACAAGAATTTAATTTTAGGAAATTCAATAGCAGGCAAGAGCGCATTTGTTTAGCCACTGGTTATTAGTATTTGTTAAGACTATCTTTAATGTAAATCATAATCAAGATATTGTGAACTAGTAAAATGTTAATTAATTTTCTCAAATTATATTCAATTAGAATGTTACATGTGTGTGTTTAATTTGGTGTTTATATGGTTTGTAACAGCATCCAGAAGTCGTCGTGGCTTAAAGGATAAGACGTCCGGTGCATTCGTGTTGAGCGATGCACCGGTTTTCGAATCTCAGGCGGTTACCAATATTTCTAATGAAATACGTACTTAGCAAATGTTCACGATTGACTTCCACGTTGAAGGAATAACATCGTGTAATAAAAATCAATCCCGCCCAATCAAATTATAATTTGCGTAATTACTGGTGGTAGGACCTGTTGCGAGTCCGCGCGGGTAGTTACCACCACCCTGCCTATTTTTGCCGTGAAGTAGTAATGCGTTTCGGTTTGAAGGCTGGGGCAGCCGTTGTAACTATTCTTGAGAACTTATATCTCAAGATGGGTGGTGCGTTTATATCAGCTCTGAGCTCGTCTACCGATCTAAGCAATAAAAAAATCTAATAAATAAAAATGATTTGAATTTTGCTTTAAAGTCTATGTGTATAATATCCCATCATTGTTTAATACATTGGATAAAATTTTACAAAAAAATAACCAACGACAAGCAGTAGTGAATTATTGAATTTTTATACAACAAATCATAATATCAAATCATGTTATATTCAATGTATAAATGTACAAGATCGATAGTGACTTACACTTTGGGTGGCTGCTCATCACTTCCGCTGGGTTGGGGACAGATAATAGGATCTAGAGGCATCTGGTTACGCTGCGTATTCAGCAGCAATGCCAGAGCCGGCGAATTCTGCCGCATATTATACGGTTGCGCTTGCGGCGGGGGCGCATTCTGTGGAACCGCCACCCCTTGTTGCTGGTACGGCGGGTACCCTTGGTATAGATAGGGGTTGTAATAGTCGGCCCACTCGCGGTGCAGCAGAGACCAATCAGCCATGTTGCGTTCTTTACAATAGGTGGGATGGTACTGCGCAAAAATTGCACGCGTGCACCGGCGGACGCATCGCGCGCGCACTGACACCCGTCCCGCGCCGCGCCGCCTTGCAACGCATAATAAACAAACTGCAAATCCTTTATCTGGCCACGATTCCGTCACACACGTAGTTAGCCAGATAAAAGTCGATCTTCAACTATATTCGTATTGTTATTTACTTTATTAGCTAAAATTTCAATTTGGTAGGCAGCGGCTTGGCTCTGCCCCCCGCATTGCTGAAGTCCATGGGCGACGGTAACCACTCACCATCAGGTGGGCCGTATGCTCGTCTGCCTACACGGGCAATAAAAAAATAAAAAATTGAAGACATTGGTTGATTTATTTGGGGAAACGCTGAGTTTCGGCACTCATAGATCAGTGTGAAGTTGAAGAAGATACGTGTTTCTCTATGACGACACTCCCAAGTGTTGGCACGTAAGATTTTCAAAATACAGGCACTCTCGAAATGTACTTAAAGTATTTACTTTATATTTTACTAGCGACCCGCCCTCGCTTTGCTTCGGAAACTGTAATTTATTATTGATTTCTCCACTATTTAATGGATGGTATTATACATATAAACCTTCCGCTTCAATCAATCTATCTATTAAGAAAAACCGCATCAAAATCCGTTGCGTAGCTTTAAAGATTTAAGCATACATAGGGATATAGGGACAGAGGAAGCGACTTTGTTTTATACTATGTAGTGAAATGCAGGTTCGCTTCAGACAGAAGAATAATATTGTTTTAAATTTTAATTACCCTGATTTTGTTTTAAAAATGCGAAGCTCATTATGGTATTTATTACAATTTTACACTTGCACTTAGTGCATTGAAAAACAAATATAATATAAAATAAAAAAAATCTCGCTTTCATTATTTACATTCTAACTATTGATTACAACGTCGTCCATGAAACGGAGACCATTGAATCGTTGAAATCAGGTTTAGAATTTGACTAAGATTCGCGATAACTTATGAAGTTACATAATATTAAATGAAGTTTAACGTTCTCAAATGAGAATTTGGATTGGGTGAAAATATTTTAAGCGGTACGGTAAATTGGCCGGTGTTCGAGAAATAAATAAAAATGTTTTGTAGTGTATCGCGACAATTAGTACATTGCGATTATTATTAGAAGTTGATGCAATTCACCTCATGTTTTTACGAGTTATTTTTAATTGTGATTAAGGGACAATTGAATAAAATCGGACATCAAATGCTTTTTACTAATTTTTTCTTTTTAACAAGATAAATATTATTATTTTTGTTTCTATTTAATTTCTCTATAAAAAATGCCTGATCTTTGCTTTAAAATATATAATTAAAAAAATTATAAGAAAAACTAAAAATTACGATTACTTTCAAAATCTAAGAAAACCTTTCACCCAAAAAAATATCCTTTACTAATTTTTTAGTACGTACACACCAAGAAAATTAAAAAAAAAAAATTACAAGCGAAGACGGCCGGATCCTACCTTAAAACTGTTATTCCATATTACTAAAGATACATGATTGAGTTTCAATAATAATTAAAAAATGTCCAAGATTGAAAGTTAACAAAAATTGTTTTTATTTTAATTTTATGAAGGCTTGGGTTCGAAGTACTTCAATAGATTCATTTAGAGTATTTCTATAATGAGGTCGTCAAGGTCAGACGCGTAGGACGCAGAGAATCCCACTTATTGTCTGCTACGTCCTATGACCTGTGATGTGATAACATCAGTACTTTATGCTTGTTGCATTCTAAAATAGCAGTATGTTCGGTAAATTTGTCCACTTGGATCGTTTTAAATCCGAAAATATTCGTCAGGGGCTACGTCATGGGCTAACAAGGTAGAAGTCAATTAAATTTAGGTAAACTCTTCATATTATTATAGAGGGGTGAAGGCTATTTGGTTTAAGCGACATTTTGGTTAATGAATGAATCATTGAAAATGATTTATTTCAGAAACAAGTTCATATGTGTACATAGAATCATTGAAATATATTTAAAATTACCATTTAAACATCATCAGTTAAACATGAAAAATATATGTAAATACATATACCTAGTTATAAACAATTCAAAATATATGTGATTAAAAATGATTATCAGTGGAAACATTTAAATATTTCACTCAACTGATTCTTATTTAGAATCAACTTTAATAATACGCGTTTATCTTTGTAATTAAAGTTATGTTTTATTTGGTATTAGCATCAGCAGCTTGATGTTTCCCATCCGAATAGCTGAAGAAGTTTTTTGTTACAGTAATTTTTCCAAATTTTAAACTTTAAAGCCCCCTAAAATATCCTTTATCTTTGTCTTTAAAAAGAAGACCTATCGCGCCTTTCATCATGTAGTCATTGGAAAATCTTCTGCGTACTGAGTCTTTTTTAAATTATGAAAAAAAAAAATCAATCGATTCGGTCCATTTTTCAAAAAATTGTGTCCGCTAAGGCTTCTCTTGCAATACGTGCGGTGTTGCGTTGTCTTAATGAAAAATAGTCCCGTGCGGCAATTTTCTCGTCGTTTCTGTATGATTGCCTCGCAAACCTGAGTCAATATATTGACATAATATTGACCATTCATCGTAGTTCCCTTAGGCAAGTAATCGATCAATAAAATACCTTCGTAATCCCAGAAAGCTGTTGTCATAAGCTCGGACGTCAATATCTCCACTTTATTATTATTAACTTAAGCGTCTCTTTTTTATCCATTGTATGGATTCATGTTTTGAATCATTGGTGAGTCCCCGTTTCATTAACAGATATAAATTTCGTTATTAAATACCCAACGTGAACTATTTTCATTTCATACAGGTATTTGAATATTGAGGTAATATTTCCACAATTCGTTCCTTACTGATCTTTAGTGCTTCAATTAACTGTGAAAATTTAATTCGTCGATCGGTCAATGCGAATTTTAGACTTTACGGACATTCTCTTCGCAGCTCTTTTATCCGTGTTGAAATAAGGGAGTCCATTATTTCACCATCGCATGCTAAGGTACAGAATCTTGAAAGACCCGATAACATGTGCTGAAAAAATTCTTTTGGTACATTTTTTTTTAAAGTTACTTAATCTCAGCGCGATCTTCCAAATTTCGAGAATTTCCAAATTCGGTTTATCGCTAGCAAAGATTAATTGTTTACAAATTGCTTTTAAATTTTTTATAGTACCATTTAATTAGCCATTGAGTCCTACGATTGATTAGTCGTTATAAGATAACTTAGACCGCAGTTTCATCAGCCAGGGCGGATTAGATGGTATCATCACTCTTTAATTGTATTGTTTCGGGTACAGCGTGTACTGTAAATAAATCCTCAGGCAGCATTACGTAGCTCTTAGAAAGCACGCTTGTGAAGTTGGACTCTTGATGGCTACCCAGACGGCTCCAAATTTTCTATCTACAGCTGCGAATTTTTGCACATTTGAAATCTGAAGCGTTGTTCGCTTTTTATAAAAACATGTAGACTTTATTTCCAATTTCAAAACTATGTATTAATCTGGACAAACTTTAATTACGGACACGAATAACCGCGCTGTTGTATCGCCGTATGTTACACCGAGTGGCGATGAGGGAGACCCTTTCAAAAGAGCTTATTTTTTGGATTATCGCTGGATTTCCTCATCGGCCATCCAGCCATCCAGCTTTCCAATGTTGTAAACTCAAAGTGTTGGTGATTTGATTCGGTAGGCAGCAGATTAGCTCTGCCCTTGGCATTGCTGAAGTCCATAGGCGACGGTAAACACTCACCATCAGGTGGGCCGTGTGCTCGTCTGCCTACAAGGGCAATAAAAAAAAAATTAAACGTATAGCAAAGCATTATACCAAGAAAACATAGTGACATAGTCAAACGACTCTAAAAAGGCACCGGTTAAGACACCTGTATATTTCACTTTAAAAAAAACTTTAACACATACCATCTGAAGCAGCCATCAAGGTACTTATTCTCGGATAATGTTTTCAGCCAGCATAAGTACAGACAAATCTACGGCCCGTATCATATTAAATATTATAGAAAAGGAAATTATAAAATGAATTTGCTCCAATAACCCGATATCTTTAATACAATATTGCAATTAACTAATATTGTTTGGTTCTAGAAAATAATAAAGTATATTATATATAATAATATATTATAGTTAGAAAATAAATAAGTATATTATTTTCAAGAATGCCTTGTTCGTTACAAAAGCATCAGAGAATGCCGCGTCAATTTATTCTCTCGACGTCGGTTAAAGCAGGTCATCAAAAGGGATCCGTATTCAGGCCGAGATCATTATAAAGCCATCAGAATGCACATAAATGTTAGCGACGCGCCCTAGGTTACCTGGTACAGCTCGTTGCCTGTCATAAATCAATAATTCCCAGTGCGAGTATTCGTTTCGCTTTCCGAGATACCTACGCCCAACCGTTTAAAATCCAAATTGAAACAGATTCAACGCATGTCCGGTGCAGCGAGAGAGCGAGCCCGGTCAGACACACGCATACATAGAAATAATATTTTTCCGTTTTGAGTTTTCTTTATAAACGCCTTTTGAAAATTGTATTTATGTTACTAATGTCCTATTTAATCAGTTATTAATAAAGCTAAAGGCGCCAGTTCAATTGATGCTCTTAAAATGCGATTTTTATAAGATAAAATATTAACGTAAATTGTACGTTATTAGTTTTATAAAAAATATACATTATTTACATAGTGATCTAAAAAGAAGAAGAAAAATGCTTAAATTGAGGAAAGTAGCTTATCAATTATTTAGTTCGAGCGTCAGCTGCCAATTTAAGAACTTTTTTTAATAATCTGTCTTCTTGTTAAATATCTCAAGAAGCTAGACTAACTAGAGTTATAGAAATCATTGTATTATTTCTTAATTTATAACGGGATCTTTTGTTATCAAAGTTTGATAAAATTCGTTCAAAAAAACGTTCGAATAATATTAAGTGACGTAGATACGTACAAATATACCAAAAATAAATAAATTGATTGAAAAAAGCAACTATAAACTCACTTAGATGTAATGATTCTGACTGACCCTATTTTAGGGCAGGCAATACGTCCAGTAGCCACGAC